GGGGAGGAGACACAATTCAATCTATGACATAGCTCCTTAGATATTAGGAGGACTGGTGGAATTTTACCAGCAAAGGACACTGTTGGGTTGGAGGACATAGTACATAGTACATAGTACATAGTACATAAATAAAGTACAAATTGCCATTGCATCAACTCTTACTCATGGAAACCTCACGTGTTTCAGACTAGACGAGATTTTCAATGGCTGAATTCTTAGAATTAGATTGATTGGCTTTTCTGCTGAGGCATTTCTGGGTGGACTTGTACCTCCAACCTTTTGATTAGTAGCCAAGCACATTAACCATTTATACCACCTCAGGGATATAGCACATCAGCAGTTCTCTCTAAGGAAATCTTCATTTCTAATAGGTTTGAGAAAGGTGTAAGAGTTTTTTGATTCTTCAGCACCTTCTCTGAAATTTATTCATAACTTACTTGGGTTTCTGATATCTGTTATCTTAGGGATTTAGTCAAAGTTGTGATATTAGCATTTTGTTATACATCTTTCAAAATGAGGGTAAGACCAGGGAAATGGTTGAGGGGAAGTATATATTTTGAATCATGGGAGTTAGATTAGATGATGGGGTGGAGGAATGGAGATAATCTAATCAGAGAAATAACTAACTGTGTCCAGTGGCCATGCTGAGATGTTTTGTCAGATGATGTAATTGTTTAGGACTTTTATTTCTTCTTATAGATGATGACTTTGTCTCAGAATATTGCCCAACTGGAAGGCCAGGTGGAAAAGGTTACAAGGGAGAAGATTTCAGCTATTAATCAACTAGAGGAAATTCAAAACCAGCTCACTTCTAAAGAAATGGATGTCACACAGGTACAAAGAAAAAAATTGTCTTAAAATTCTTTCAATAAATATCTTTGAAAAACTCATCCTCACTGTACACAGCTTTTATTGGTATCAGAAAACAATTTGGAATTGAATTTTTTTTTTTTTTTAAGACTAATAAAAGGCCACCTAAGCAGCCTGAAAGGAGCTCTGATAGC